CTCTACCCAGGGGGACAGCTTGAGGCTCTGTCTCAAAAAAAAATGAAAATTACTAAATGTGACAGAGCCCTGGGGACATTGATTCCTTTCTTACACACCAGTATTGCTTACCTCCATCATTTTACATTTTATCACAGGTTCATGTTCTGTCTTCCTCAGTTTGAAGCCATAGTCAAACCCACTTCCATCTTCAGGGACACCCAACATATCATACCACAGTCGGGCAGGCCCATAACGCCACTCTGCTACTCTTGGTTTCGTATCTGTCACTTTATCTGTATCTCCAGTTGATTGGGAAAATTTGGACTCCACAGGAGCCATCATTGTGATCTGTAACAGAACAAGGAAAGGAGAGAATTTCTCAATTTCAGACGTCCTAACACTATAGGGAGTCAACAATGAGAAGACAATTTTTTTCTTTCGAGACAGAGTCTCACTTTGTAGCAATCAATAGAGTACCATGATGTCATAGCTCACAGCAACCTCTAACTCTTGGGCTCAAGCGAGCCTCTTGCCTCAGCCTCTCAAGTAGTTCGAACTACAGGTGCCTATCACAATGCACAGCTATTTTTAGAGATGGGCGTCTCACTCTTGCTTAGGCTGGTCTCGAACTCTTGAGGACAGAGAGGCTGGTCTCTGAGGACCCACCTAGGAGGTAAATTTAAAGAAGCCATAAAGCAGGAATCTTTTTTTTTTTTTTTAAGAGGAGCCGTCTAATTTTATCACCCTAGGTAGAGTGCCATAGCGTCACAGCTCACAGCAACCTCCAACTCCTGGGCTTAGGCAATTCTCTTGCTTCAGCCTCCCAAGTAGCTGGGTAGCTGGCTCCCTCCACAACACCTAGCTCTTTTTTGTTGCAGTTTGGCTGGGCCAGGTTTGAACTCACCACCCTTGGTATACGGGGCCGATGCCCTTACCCACTGAGCCACAGGCGCTGCCTAGGCAGGAATCTTTATGAGTTAGAAAGCAAACAATGGAAGTATATCAGGGCACATTTTGCCTATAATTTAAAACTTCCTAGTCAGCAGTGTATTACCACCTACTGCTCTGCTCCCCCACCTCAGCCAATAATTACTTTTCTACCACAATAGGGAAAGGAACAGTCACTAAGATTGCATTTATGATTACTCATTGAGAATCAGCACAAAGGCTCAGTGCCTATAGCTCAGTGGCTTGGGTACCGGCCACATACACCGGGGCTGGTGGGTTTAAACCCAGCCTGGGCCTGCCAAACAATGAGGACGACGACGACGACAACAATAGCTGGGCGATGTGGCGGGCACCTGTATTCCCAGGTACTGGGGAGGCTGAGGCAAGAGAATCTCTTAAGCCCAAGAGTTTGAGGTTGCTGTGAGCTATGATGCCACGGCATTCTAGCAAGGGCAACATAGTGAGAAACTTGTCTTAAAAAAAAAAAAGAGAGAGAATTAACACAGAATTCTGCCTAAACTGTTATTCCCAATTTAGACATAAGCTAGAGAGAACTCATTTGTTCCCCTCATGGGCCTTAATCCCAGGTCTCTTTTGCCTACTTCATCATCAGAGAGACATTGCTCTGGAGGTGGTGGTGGAGCATAGTCATAGTTCCACAAAGACTTCTGGTTAACTTCTGATTCTACTGAGCATTCCACCTCCTGGATATGCCCTTCTTGTATCAGCTCACGGTGCTTCTTTTTTCTCTTCCTCCGAGCACTCCGCCAAACAGATGGGACATTCTTCCCAGGTCCAAAAAGACGAAGGAAGCGTAATACCTAGAACATAGAACATATTACTGTGTCAGACTGGAAAATAATAGCAACTGAGCCTGAAAACTGCTTTGAAGAATCTATTCAACTCTGAGGGAGGAATCAAGACATGTTCAGACTTATAACATCTAACATGCATATAAAAAAAAAAATCCAGGCCAGGCACAGTGGCTCACACCTATACTCCTAGCACTCTGGGAGGCTGACCAGCGGATCACCTGAGCTCACAGGTTTGAGACCAGCCTGAGCAAGAGCGAGACCCTATCTCTCAAAATAGGTGGGCATTGTGACGAAGTGCATATAGTCCCAGCTACTTGGGA